TGATAAGTGCTCATTTATGCCTGTAAAAATACAACAGGAGGGAAGAGCAGCATTGCCTAGAGTACGTGTACTTCTCACGTGAATAGATAATTAATTTGTGAACAGAGGACCTGCCTGACACTTCCAAGTTCACCTTTCCCAGGTCCTAGGTTGGTATTCTTAACCAGGATCTTCTTCAGAGCACTTTCAAATATTACTCATAAAACTGAAATGTTCTGCAGAAAGGGAAGAAGATGAGTTTTAACTCTGTAGCTGAGCACCAGCTTGTAAAGTGGAAGATCTGGTGTCAAGCCTGTCAAAACTGCTTCTATGTTTTGTAGGAGTGAGATAATACCATTAATGAGAGCTGCATTTCTCTGTCACTGCCATTCCCTTTCTGCATTTCTGTAACCTACATGAATTATATATTCATTTGATAAAAAAACACCCAACCAGAACAACCCTACATAAAACCCATTTTTGCTACTTAAATATCTACTGAGCCTGAACCTGAGGGTATCAGCTATTGAATGTTTCCTGATTGCTATCAAAGTCACTGGGCTGATCACCTCTACTTTTCAGAAATGCAAACATTTACTTTTTCTACCTAACATCCTTATGTGTAAAATGGGAATAAAAGAACACCTTTTCAATTTTTTACTTTTTTTTAGCTGGAGTTCGTTAACTGTGGTAATTGAAGGTACCTAAAATAATTTTACTCATATTCTTCACAGAGGTCAGTAAGCAAGTGCTAAGTGCAAAAAATAATTCTCCACTTTCCAAGCTGGAACTGACTTGCTAAACTGAAGGACACACGTTCTAGTCCATTACCCATTACCTCCATAGTCCTCCATATTTTACATTTTTGTCAATAAAAAATAATGTACAGTCGGAGTGTGAAATTTTCTTCTGTAGGAGAGGCCAACAAAAGGCCCATGCCTCACCAGCCTTCCAGGAGAGAGTGACACCTCAACAGACCAGTCAGTGCTAATGGCTAAAAAACGAGACATTCAGAGCCTATGTGTCAAATATGCAGGGCAAAATTCTTGACCCTGACTGTCAGTCTTGCCTGGCTGAAGAGGGCACACAGGGCAGAAAACTGCTTTTGGCTGAGGCAGACAAAGATGAATTCTTCTTCAAGAGATGGCAAAGTTGATAAAGAGGTTGTTTACCCAGCCTGGAGGACCTTCCATTAAGATATTGAGAAGCTGTGATTTTCTATTTTTTTTTTTACCTTCAAGGTATCCTCTGTGCAGCATACTTTCACATTCTCTCTAACAGAATTTAAAACATTCATTGCCTTGACTGTAAAATAAAATAGATTCCAATGTCTCATCATATAAACTACACACACAAGCCTGGTTTGGGCTCCCACAGAGTACGCCACAATATTTGGTTAGTCAGAAATTATTTTTTCCAAACAATTGCCTAATTTTTAAGCAAGATGAACAAATAGAACAGTTTTCCCGTTCCCCTCTTCATCCTTACAGTCAAACTTGTGACCCTTTTTGGTGAGAGTGAAGCAGAAAAAGTCATCCACTAAAAGTGAAGCACTTGTGTAGGACAGTTCTGTCTGAAACTGGACAAGTGAAGCTCATTCATATAATTCCTTCTGTCCTAATTTTTAGGGATAATGAAAGAACGGAATTAGTAAAAATAGCTTGGTACAGGTGTTTTACCTTAATAGTGTCCTAAGGAACCCTTGGGCAGCTTTCACATTTTGTACTTTAGTTTTCTTCTTGCTTGGACTGGATTTTTGAATGAAAATTGCGTTAACTGGTGGTTAAGTTTCATGGCTTTGCCTGTGTAAGATGCAATTTAAGTCGATTTTCTCTGAGTTTTTAAAATATTTAGCTCTCCTTCATCTTAAGTTTATTAAATTCTTTGGCAAAATTTGATAATGAGTGAGTCAGTAATGTTAAGAGGGGAAAAAAAGTGGGTAGTAGATTCCCAGATTAGCAATACCATCATACTTTAACCTGGATCTTGAGGGAGTTCTTTGGAACAGTTATGACTGCAACAGGGTGTCCTGTCTTGCAGCAAAAATAGTCGTGTCCCATGTAGGCTAACCTGGTCACCAACTGCTCTTCCTGAATGCCACTTCTGCTGCTGCAATGGAGATGTTGTTTTGGCCACTCGGGGAGAAGATGATTCATTGCAAAATGCCATTTGTGGCTAATGATCACCCGCAGTGTTACAGGGTTTTCACAAAGGTAAAGCAAAGAGAAAAAAGCCACGGCCCAATTAAGATCTCCCCAGTTTTTGATCTTAAGTCGGTAGTTCTAGTTTTTGAGTTTTGTTAAATGATCCGACTGCACAAAAAAAGTCACAATTGGTTCAACTTGCTGAAGGAGTTTTTAATAGAATGTCATGAGTTTATGAACTGATCTTCCCCTTGCAAATTTCAGCTGTTTGAGAACTGGGCCTAAGTTGTCTGTTCACAATGATCTTGTTTTTGCAAAATAATGATCTAAATGATTTATTATTCAGTTCTTAGACTGCTGTTTTATTTCTGTTGATCTTTGTTTTTCTGCTTAATTTCTATAAATTACTGTACAGTTTCCCATAAGGTATAATTAAACAGAATTGCTAAAGTTTTAATTATTGTGTATTATAGATGTTGAAAGCAACATTAGCACTTAGCTTTTAAAAATGTGATAGTATATTTATAAGAGAGCATTTATAAACACATTTACATATAGTTAAGATGAAAAAGGTATTTGAATTGTAGTCATTAGCATTTCTTCAAACATATGGCATACCAGCAGAAGCCATGGGCCATGCCTTCATTAACTGAACACTGTTTCATCAGTATCTCAGCTTCCTGCTGTGCCACCCTGTAGCGTACCCTTCTGTCCCTGAGGTTTCAGTGACAAGGGACAATATGTCCCCAAGGTGAAAATCTGGGAAATAACGCAGATTAGCCCTTAGAGGAGTTCTTATGATTATTTAATCATACTTAGGAAAGAAGTACACTGAACTACAAAAGAAAAGCATAAAAAATCCTATCAGCCTACTATTTTCCATGTTGCAGTGTATGATGGTCTCTTCAATGCACCATCAACATAGCTACAGTGGAACATGACAGCTTTATGCTGCTTTATTATAAGGCCAGCCTTTTTCAAATTTGTTCATATAATGGGTAAAGCCTACGTTGGTACTAATAGGCACCATAGGTCAATTATCATTCATTGTCCATAATGTTCAGGTGATGGATCAAGATTTAACTTCTCTTAACCATACATGCAGCTATTTAATTTTATTTCCTAATAAAAAATGGAAAAGGAATAAAAATACTCATATAAATGTCATGGTCATATTTTATTTGTGCATTTCTTAGGTATATAAAGATAGGTTAATATGACAAGCAGAGACATTTGTCTTAAGTCATTAAATTCTCTCATACACTGCCTCTGATATGATATTCTTTGCTGAAAAGAAATATATTTTAGAAAGCACTTAGTAGAAATTTTAAAAACATATTTTGTTTGACAAGATGACACTTTTGAAAGTAAGGTTAGATTTTGGGGCTGAGGGTGGGTTGGTCTTTTTTGTTTTTTAAGATGCTTTATTTAGTTGCCTTGCAGTCTCTCTTTTCTTTCTCATTGTGACAAGGAGTAGTAAAAAGCACTGAAGTGGAAAATAATTGTCAGAAATATTTTCTCAGTTTCTCATGGACATTGGTCTGCTTTCTTGCATTTGTATCTCAGTTCTGCCAGAAGAAATGGAGCTTTAAGGAAGTTAGCCCTCTGTCTTTGAAATCCAGTCAGTGAAGTCTGTTCTTGGATTAGGAGGGAACAGATAGCAACTGGAGTCAACATATTTAAATCCTAATTATTAAATCAGCTATTGAAAGAATAATATTCTAATATTAAAACATATATTATGCTAAAATATATTCTATTATTCTGCCTTTAGAAAGTGTACTTTTCAACATGCATTTAGGGGAGGAATTTAAAATCTCTTATGGCTTAACCTAATACAGATAGAGAAAGTGTGGATTTAAAAAGCAAGCTTTGATTTATATCATTACAAGCATCTGCTATAATTTAAATATTTTAATATAATTTCTCACAGTTTTTGTCAGGCCTAGATTCATTATGACAGGTTTAGAAACATCTTGGTAGGTAGTCAAAGTGTTTAAATTAGCATCATTTTTACCTTTATTGTTTTTATATGGGAGGAATCTGAAAATCTCTCACTACAGTATCCACCATTAATCAATGGTGCAATGGAAAGCTCTCATTAACTTTAACCCTCCGACCCTGACATTATTCTACTCATCACAGCAATCATTAGCAAAATGAAAAACAATCAACCAGCATATCCACATTCCACTGATATTAATGCTTTCACTCTATTACACATGAATGTCAAATGTGACAAAAATCACTGAACTTCAAATATATACATAACAGATTCTGATATATATAAATCACCAGTTTTTGTTATTCTCACTCCACAGCAAAATCAAAGTTACAGTGCCAGGGGGCCCATACCATTTGCAATCTGTAGCATTTCCAATGTATTTTCGACAATATTGTAAATATTTATGGAGTTTTATAAAGACTCTATGCTTCCTTCTGTTTGTGATGCATCAACAAGGCACAGTAGGATATCATAGGCAGATATTTACTTCTGGGAATTCCCTTTTGGACTCTTTTTGGTTGAAAACGACTTCATGACATACAGTACCGCAAATCCCCAGAAATGTACCATGCTATTATTGCCAGCTGAGTTCTTCCAAGTAAAGATGACATCAGCCATCTGTCATGCTATACTAATCCTAGGAAAGAAAGCCAACTGAAGAGAAAATAAGTACCTTTTATATCTATTAGCCAAATATTTATATTAAAATAATGAAACTCTTAAATTCTTACTAGCAAAGTTAATTCTTGGAAGCTAATGATCTTTTCTGAGTAAACAACATAGATAAAATGTCTTTGTCTTTTTATCTACCTAAACTAAGTTATAGCACGAGCATATGTTTGAAATGCTGATTTTTTGCTACATATTGGTAGATAAGAAAATATGATTCCAAGTAGTGATTTTCCTCCAGACCTTGGAGGTGAGCTCTGCCAGGTACCATGGAGCTGCGTCAATGTTCCGTACTGCTCTGCTGAGGTAAATGGAAGTTTCCCAGAGTCTAGCAGTGCAGGAATTAGACTCTCCATCACGAGCAACTCTGCCAATCAATAAGGAAAGTGTCTAAATTAATGGCAACATAAAATGTTTAAAAAAAGCCCAAACAGTGTCAGGTATCTGCTTCCCCGCAGTGCAGGGAACATGACAGTGAGGAAGTCTTTTGGATAAGCTGAAAAACTATTTTACTCTGAGACTACTCCTGTGCGTTTATGTCATATTTCTTTGTCACTCAACAACATATACTTGAATTTAAAACTAAGGTGGTGTTCAAAAGCTCATATCAGAATAAAATTAAGGCTAAAAAATAAACCTCAAGAAATTGTAAAAAATTAACAGCCAGCTAGGCCATTCCTTGATAAGAATGTACTATGGTGCTGTTGTAAAAAGAATCCAAAAGCACATGTATGGTTATTTAGTGCTAGTGTCATTAATGATTTCCACACTGCAAATGTTCCTTTTGCTCTTTTAGCAAAAGAGTGGTAGGAGAAGCAAGACAGAAGTGAGCATTCACACATAGCACTACAAATAAATATCTCCCATCCCTACAGACTCTCACATTAGTTTTTTTCTTATCTGCCATTTAACATTGTGAGAGTTCCTTTTAAGTCAATAATGCATTTTGGGATGTGAATTCATACAAAATGGAAAATGAAAACAATAGAAGTTTCAGAATTAAAGGTCTGTTTCTTGGGCTGTAAATCTTTTGACTTCATAGTTTAGAATAATGTGATAGATGACATGAAATTTTTATTAGATAATATATAATACAGAACAAATAATTAATAGACAAAATTTTATTACAAGTTCTGCTTCCTGAGCTTCTCAATTGGTTGGGTCTTCTAATGGTTCCAGTTGGTTTTTGTAGACTCTGACTATTTTAAGTTAGTGGATTTCTTGTCTCTTTGAAGGTTAAGAAATTACAAAGCAGTAAAAGCATGGCTGTGTTTTGATTTATTTTTTTTAATATTGAAACAGAAAAACAAGAGAAAGAAGGGAGTTGCTTTCTTATGAATATTTTCTCAAGATCTTAATGTCATAAAAGGAACATCTGATCTTGGGAAACAAGAGGTGATTAGAAAAAAAAGTCAGTAATTGAATGTAGAGATTCCATATATCCCTTGACACCCAGAAAGGCAGAACATTCTTTCATGTCTTCTGCAGAAAACAAGGGTAAGTTGCAATTTTGCACGGTAGTTATAGCAAATGAAATTACATAACTTTTGGACAGATTACTTCAAATAATCAATTTTTTTGGAGGATGAACTTCAACCTGGATTACCATCATTCTATCTCAAATGACAACCCATTGGAAAACAAGATGTGATTTTTAAAATAACGTTTTTTGAGACTTCAGCTTATTTACTGAGTCAAGAAACCAATATGGTTTTTGTTAACACCTGTCTCAGTACGAATAGATCTGTCTGCTTTACAACCTGGTAAGAGCTGAAATTTAAAAAAAAAAATAATTATCTTGCACTATAAGTCTTAGCAATAAGCCATTTTTGAACCCAGAAGAACTTTAAGGCTCTTTCCTGCAATGCAATGTTTCTTTATTCAGTGGAGAACCTGGGGAAAAAAAGCTGAACTTTTATTAAAAAAAAATCACAAGCGGTAAGATTAGTAATTCTTTGATTTCCAAATAAAATTTATGCCATATTTTAAGTAAAACATTTCTAATTAAAATAAATTTTATTTCCTTTATATTTTTGTTTTAGGTATCTCTATTTACTAATGAGAAACAAAGGAGATTTTATCATTCCCTTTCTCCTGGGAGGTTAAATAAAAAACAAGGAGCAGAAGCTTGGATATAAGGAGGGGGTAAAATAAAGTTTGTTGTTTTTTTCTTTTTTTTCTTTTTTTTTTTTTTTTCTGTAATACAATAACAACAAAATAAATTCTCAATTAAATTTACAGACCTTTTTATTATTGTTTTAAACCTTGTCAAAAAAGAGACAAGTCACTAGTTTTAGACTGATTTTCCTCCATCTTTGGGTGCTGTGACTTTTAGATTCTGGTTTCCTTTTGAACTGTTGAATATTCATTTATTTCAGTAAAATACAAAGTCTAAGTTGTGAGGAGGGCAGCAACAGTC